TATATATATATATATATTATACATTTTAAAAAGATAGCTAGATGATTGATTGGTTGACTGACTGACTGACTGATTGATTGATTGATTGATTTATTGATTGATTGATTGGTGTATATATATTTTTATTGTTTTCTGACAGTTTTACAGTTTAGTTTGTTCTTGTTGCTCAAAGTTGAACCTGTTCTGTCCTCCTCCTCTCCTGCACGCACAAACAGGTTTAATGAAAATACTTTCTCTCCACAGACGCCCTCAGTTCAGCTGTTTGATTCAAAAACTAAGGCTCATGAGTTCTGCCTAATTTCAGCTGCACGCTTATCAAAGATCTCACAGAAATAAGTCCGAAGCCTCAAAGTGACGCAACGCAGTCACTTAGATAAATAGTTTTATTACAGTTTGTGACAAACAAACAAAAAACATCATAATAAGTGCAGAGCTCTAGTGAAATAAAAACACATGAATAATAAAATATATAGTTTTTATCAAAAAGCAGCACGATGCATCAGGATACAAAGAGAATCTGCAGAGTTTACCTAAACCAGGCAGGCCTCGCTGGAGATTTAAATATTAAAGTACCAAACTCAAGGTTTTAATGACAAACAAGTCACATTGTTAACAAGTGGGTTAACACAAATAACTTTTTAACGTCAGATCAGTCAATTCCCATCAATAACACATTGAAATCAACTCGAGAACTCAATAAAGTCTCCTCGTTAACTCGTTAAAGTCTCCTAGTTAACTCGTTAAAGTCACCTTGCTAACTTGTGAAAGTCTCTTCGTTAACTCATTAAAGTCACCTCGTTAACTTGTTAAAGTCTTCTAGTTAATTTGTTAAAATTTCCTGGTTAATTTGTTAAAGTCTCCTAGTTAACTCGTTAAAGTCCAGTCGTTTCCTCGTTAACCTCAGCTCTTCCTCTCTGCTGCAGAGTCCCGGCTGCACGGTGTTGTCTTCTTCAGTTCGATCGTCAACGCCTGGTTTTTGGAGCACGACTCTAGTTGCGTCAATGCTGATATGCCCATAACCGTTGTCCCACCTGCTTTTGGACCTCTGGACATAGGGATCCGTGTGGCAGCGCTCCCAGCCACATCAGAACTGAGCTGAAAGAAACAGTAGTCAGTGACCAGAGACAGGAACAAATGCAGACCATGGATTCACTAAAGATCACGAGTACGAAGGCTAAGAGATAGAGATGTGTTAAAACATACAATTAGTCATAACATTATGACCACTTCTTGATTATCTGGTTACTATAACTGATGAGAATGAGAGAGGATTTACCATGAAATACAATTCAATTCAATTCAGTTTATTTCTATAGCGCCAAGTCACAACATAAGTCGTCTCAGGGTAGTGAACAGAAACATTCATAAATAAAATCAGTGCACTCGGCAGACTGCAGCTCTTAAAGTAATCTGCATGGATGTTGCAGCAGGGGCGCTCAAACGGGAAGAGGAGACACTGCTCCTTGCTGAAGAAGAGAGGTTGCTGGCTGGAAGTGTTAGTAAGGCTTAAAGTTAACGCTAAGACTGGCAGACTACCAATACACTCTCTCTTTATGTCAAACGTCCACTCCTTGGACAACAAGATGGATTTGTATCGTCTGAGAGTTGGTGCCTCAGAGGAGATGAGGACATGTGCAGTGCTTTGTGTCACAGAATCATGGCTTAACAGCGACATGTCAGACTCAGCCTTCCAGCAGGCCGACAGACTTTTTTTTTTTTTCAAGCGGACCGCTGCAGCGAGCAAATGGGGAAGTCACGGGGAGGCAGAGTGTGCGTCTTTGTGAGTAAAAGTTGGTGCACAAACTGTACTCTGACAAATAGCTCTTGCTCCGAGGCTTTGGAGCAACAAAGAGTGAAATGTCCATACCATACCAATTTATTTATATAGCACTTAAAACGGCAACAAGGCCAACCAAAGTGCTGTACAAAAGAACCAAACATGCACAGCAGACAGGAAAACATAAAATAGAAATACAGATACAAATAGCAGCAGAAGCTAACTAAAATGGCCAACAGAGTAGAGAACAGACCGGACCAAAACAAATCACACCGTGTGAAAGGCAAGAGAATAGAAGTGGGTCTTCAAGCGAGACTTAAAGACTGAGAGTGTGGGAGCCTGCCGGACACTCAGTGGCAACTCATTCCACAGTCGTGGACCTGCAACAGAGAAAGCCCTGTCACCTCTGAGCTTACGACGGGTTTCTGGGACTGAGAGAAGCATCTGGTCTGCTGACCTCAGAGAGCGCGGTGGGACATATGGCTGCAGAAGATCAGTGACATAGGACCACATTATCTACCCCACGAGTTTATGGCAGTGTTTATAATAGCTGTTTACGTAGCTCCGGATATTAATGCTAAAGACACCCTGCAGGAGCTGCATGATAATATTAGCTTGCCGTAAAACAAACACCCTGAGGCATTTTACGTGAAGTCTGGGGAGTTTAACCACGTAAATCTGAAAGATTCCCTGCCAAGATTTTATCAGCATGTGGCCATTCCTACACAAGGAAATGAAACACTGGACCATGTTTACACGGAAGTACAAGACACATACAAAGCCGTACCCCCAAGGCCGGATTAACCATATGGGCAACTGCCCAGGGGCCCATGATCTCTAAGGGGCCCAGGGCAGTGAGGGCACAAGCAGAACATCTGGTTATCTCCTGTTCTACTTGGAGCGCTCCGCTGCATTTGTGTAGCCCCGCCTCCTCCCAGCTGCTGCAGCTCTCTTTTTTTTTTTCAATCGGATCCTCGATGGCACGACCTGTCAATCAACTCAGAAGGTGTGTCAGTAACTGACCAATCAACAACCTCAATTTGTCCCGAAGGTAAACGCCCCTTACCTGCTGACAAGCTCATCAGGTTTTTTTTCTTGAGAAACTTCTTGTTTTAATTAAAACAATAAGTTTGTATCTGTTGTGAGATGATTCTAGCAGTTTTGCAGATTTTTAATCTACTTAATGAAGAATAGTTTGACTTCAAATTGTTCATCAAACAGGAAGGAGGAATTATTATCTCTCCTCTTACAGTGAATGTGGTACTTTGCTATAAGTACAACTATATTTATGGCATCAGAGGAAGCTGAGCTTCAGTTATCCACATAAAGTGAAATGACATCAGCATGAAAAGAAGGAATATTAAGTTTGAGATGAATCCAGTTTCTGATGTCTGACCAAACTCTTTGTACTGACATAAATAAGTTGCTCGAGGGATTCATCTTGTGATTTACAGAAGACACACAAATTAACATCAAATTTAAATCTTCTTTGCAGAAACATGACTACAGGATACATCTTATTTATTATTTTAAAATGATTCTCCTTCACTTTATGAGATTTAGGCCATTTGATAAATTTAGAATGAGCAGAAGTCATACTGGTTTTATGATTTATACTGGGAGGTTTCTTGAAGGAATCTTTGTTATACTCAGTAAATCCTTTGTCTCAAACATTCATTGATAATCTTATTACATTTGAAGTCAACTCAGTTACAGATGTTTAATTTTAATGTGGGCATCAAATCGTCACCTTTGAATATATAATATTTTTAATTATTGAATCAGCTGTTGGTCAGGTTACTTCTTGTTGTGCCATTAGCTCTAAAATAGTTACTGAATCAAGTGTTTACTTCCATCCTTCTGCGGGGGTACAGCCTAAGTGGGGAGGCCCAGACTTCCCTCTCCCCAGACACTTGGACCAGCTCCTCCAGGAGAATCCCAAGGTGTTCCAGGTGTTTACTTGTGGAGGTAAAACTAGATGTTAAACAACCATTAAAATACACCAGAATGCAGGAAATGACATCTACTTTATTCAAAATTTTCTGGGGGAGGACCCCTAAACCCCCCCCATCAGTGTCCCCCCCCCCCCCCCACACACACACACACACATTATAAATGCTTCTGGCACCAGTGGCCAATACGTTACTAAACAAGTACACATATGATGTCATGACGTGTTCAAAGTGCGTTCAACGTAATTCAGTCTTGATTTGTGTCAATGAGCATTTGGAGTTTTATGCATAAAAATACACTGATAGTTAGAATTCTAAGTATATTTACTGTATATTATGGTAATTTATTCTGTATTTTGCCAGATTATGGTGATTCTGGGGTCGTGATGATGGGGCCCTTGAAGATTGTTGCCCAGGGTACAGCGAAGTGTTAATCTGGCCCTGCGTACCCCACCCCCACCTAGGACACTCTGACCACATCTCCATCTTTTCTGGCCCCTGCTTACGTGCACCCACTGAGACGCTTCAGGCAACACAAAGAAAAGTCAAAAGTTGGATGAAGAATAGTGACTCCATAGTAAAAGACTGTTTTGCATGCACAGACTGGCAGGTCTTCAGAGAAGCTGCTATAAAGACGGGGAGATAGACCTGGAGGAATACACATCCTCGGTCCTGGGAAACATCAGCAAGTGTGCTGATGATGTCACCACCACCAAAAATATTAAGAGCTACCCAAACCAGAAACCCTGGCTGAATTCAGAGATGCGCCTCCTGCTGGAAGCCAGGAACACTGCCTTCAGGTCTGGCAACTCACAGGAACTGAGAAGGACGAGGAAAGAGCTGGCTGCTGGTACTAAAAGGACCGAGGCCACATATGTACAGAGCAACTAGGGTCAGTTCACCTCACAAGACCCACGGAGCATGTGGAGGAGCATTAAGTGTATAACAGATTATAAAAGCAGAGGTGCACAATGCCCTAGTGCAGGGCTATTCAACTGGTGACCCGCGGGCCATTTCCGGCCCTCGGATTACTTAATTCTGCCCACTTCATAAAAAAAAAATTTAAAAAAAATTGTGGGGGGGGGGGGGAGGGTGTTCTGGGTTTGGGTTCTGTTTATTGCATGTATGACTCAATGTCCCACGAGTCAGCTTCACTCAGCTTCTTCATCCAACACGTTCAGTGGCGCGCCCTGCAGTGCACGTATGCACAGAGCGTCTCCAGACCGCACAGATGTGTCAGAACTCCTGCATACATTTGAGACATAAATATAAAATCTTACAGTAAAAAATAAAAATACAACAACAGAAATGTTTGATGTGTTATTCACATTATGTCACATTTCAAAACAACGGTGCTAATTTGTCAAAATAACAGCAATGATCAGAATGTTGAAAAGACAGTCCAGTTTACTTTAATGAAAAATGGTCTTTAGTTGGACAAGCGAGAACTGAAGCCTTCAGGTGCTTCAAAGGAGCAACAACCAGAACTGAATTCAGTGGAGAAGAGTTCAGCTCAGAACGGTGAAGTGTGTGTGTGTGGGGTGGGGGGGGGGGGGGGGGGGGGGGTGTAGGACACCTGACAGAATCGAAACTGCTCTATTCACACACAACCTGCTGTTGCTCTCCGGTAATTTAATCAAATGTTTAGAAATGTAGGTAAATGTTGATGTTTAACAACCTGTTAAAAACAGGAAATGACATCTCTGTTATTCAAAATATTCTGTAGAACGACCCACAGACCCCCCCCCCCCCCCCCCCCCCACACACACGCCACCACCACCACCACCACCGGAACCCCCCACCCCCCGGCCTGCCTACTGTTCCGGCATCAATTACAAATTAAGCCCTGCTCATCACTGCTTGATACCTTCAACAAGTTCTACGCACGCTTTGAAGACCCGAACAGACCATCCAGCCCCAGACTCACCTCACCACCAGAAGAAGAGCATCTCAGCGTGACCTCAGCAGAAGTAAGGAGTACCTTCAGGAGGATTAATCCGCACAAAGCAACTGGCCCAGACAACATCCTCGGGAAGGTGCTGAAGGAATGTGCTGATCAGCTCTGTGAGGTGCTGGCAGACATCTTTAACACCTCACTTACCCTGGAGACAGTTCCCACCTGCCTGAAGACTGCCACCATCAACCCAGTCCCAAAGAGCTCTACAGTGACTGGTCTGAATGACTATCGGCCAGTGGCCCTCACCCCGATAGTCGCTAAATGCTTTGAAAAACTGGTCATGACTGACATCAAAACAACCATCAACATCAACGAGGACCCTCATCAGTACGCATACCATGAGAACCGATCAACACAATACATCATCTCCTCTGTGGTCCACACTGCTCTCCCCCACCTGCAGCAGAAG